GCTATGATCACCACCATACCCCATACCAGCGTCCTGATCTCCCCATATCCCATACCAGCGCCCTGATCACCGCCATACCCCATACTAGCGTTCTGATCACCACCATACCCCATACCAGCACCCTGATCTCTTAATATCCCATACCAGCATCCTGATCACCGTCATACCCCATACCAGCGCCCCGATCTCCCCATACCGGCATCCTGATCACCACCATACCCCAAACCATTGCCCTGATCTCTCCATATCCCATACTAGTATCCTGATCACCGCCATACCAGATACCGGCATCCTGATCACTGCCATACCCCATACCAGCCCCCTGATCACACCATACCAGCACCTTGATCTCCCCATGTCCTGATCACCACCATATCCCATACCAGAGTCTTGATCACCGCAATACCCCATGCCATCGCCCTGATCTCCCCATACCAGCATCCTGATCATACCACCATACCCCATACCAGCAGCACCCTGATCACCACCATACCCCATACCAGAGTCTTGACCACCGCCATACCCCATACCAGCACCTTGATCTCCCCATATCCCATACCAGCGTCCTGATCACCGCCATACGCCATACCAGCATCCAGCATTTTAGGGTCTCAACTGATCAATTTTCAAATATATATCCCATAGTTGTAGACTGTATAATTTTCACACAGACTATATGATATACACTGTTTTGGGTTATGTTTACCAAAAAACCATAGCAGAATACATTTTGGCCTAAATTTATGAAGAAATATTTTAGGCAAAAAAAAAAACAGGTGTACCAAGAGAGGAAACAAAACTATAAAAGGAAGAGAATAAAAAAAAGATACAAAAGAAGAAGATAAAAAAAAGCAGAGATAGAGAATGAGGGAGATAAAAAAGACACAGCAGGATACAAGAGTAAAGCCGGCCATAGATGGTTTGAATCTTGGCAGGGACTGGCGGTAATTTGAACCATCTATGGACAGGCTGATTGTACCCAATTTGATTGTTGTATGACTTATGTACAACCAGCATGTAGGAATTTTCATGTAGTTATTGCCGGCAGCTATAGCCACTAGAAATAATCACTGCAAGTTCTCAAGGCAAGGGTGGCTCCCCCACCCCCCGCTGGCAGAACACAATAGCTCCACTGAAGGGATTCCCCCACCAACACTGACTGTGTTGATGATGAAATTGAGAGATTTTCTTTCCTGCAGCCACAGGTTGCAGGATAGAAAATAGCATTGTTTGTGGCTGGCTTAATAAAAAGTGAGAAGAAAGATACAGAAAAGGAGAAGAGAGGGGGAGAGATAGAGAGGAAAAGAAGAGAGAACGGCAGAGACAGAGAAAGAAGAGTAGAAGATATAAAAAGATATAAATAGAAAAAGAAGAGCAAAAATAATGGAAGAGGAAGTGGATATAGAAAAGAGGAAGAGAGAACAAACTACTACATAACTTGAAAGAGGGATAGATAGAGAAAAAGGAAAAGATAAAGAAGAATAGGATAAAAGACAATAATGCAGAGATAAAGAAAGAAGCTGAGATAAAAAAGAAATATGTATATAAGTGTACAGAATATGTGTATATATATATATATATATATATACACGTACACACACTAGTGGCCAAAATTGTGGATACACCTTACATTTTTACAAACTTTTGCAGTTTAACCTCCCTAGCGGTCTGATTATTTCAGATTTTTGGTGTTGAAAAGCGGTACCATTATTTTGCATCGAAATTTGGCGTTTTATATTGTAGGCCTGTGATTCTTGGGAATAACTCACTGAAATCTGTCTGAACAAGAGTCTAGTAAACATCCCGGGTATGATAAAACTTGAAACACGAAATCATAAATTATAATATAATAAATAATCATAAAAAATAATAATATAATAATAATAAATTTAATTTAATAATATAATCAAACCAAAAACTCTGAAATGTGAAATAGAGCGCCAAGTTCGCACATCGCTGAGCAAAGTCGCAGAATCGTTTTCAGTGTCTGATGAGGAATTTCCCCCACGAATCATTATCACTCAATTCTGCAAGTGGTTCTGATTTACTATCGCTGGTCTCTAGCCGGTCTAAAACCGATTTTGACCTAAAGGGACGCTTTTTGGACGCTGTGGATGTTTCTCAGTTTCCAGGCAGAAAGAACGGTAAAAATGCAGGCAGGGCGCCGGACAAAGCACTCGGGACAGAATGTATGTGAAATGGTTTGATAATGGAATGTTATACTATGTGATTTTAGTGATTTTTGTGAATGTCACTTTTTGTCATTTTCAAATTTCCTGCCAGTTCTGTCCCCCGTACGTCCCGACGTCGCAGGGGACGGAACCCGGAAGACAGATGCCGGCATCCGCCGGAGGACATTACAGGGGACACTGCAGGGGGCACATCGCGGGAGCGCAGGACAAGGTAAGTTGTTGGGGGACAAGGGCGTCTTCCTCACAACCACGACTAGTGGTTGTAGGGGACGGCAGCAGGCAGGGGGCTTATGAGAATCTGGAAGCCCCCTTTACTTAATATCCCATACCAAATGAATGCTTTGGGGTCGGGGAGAACGCTGCTGACAGCTGAAAAATGAAAGAATACTTTCACTACTAAAATACCGCATGACTTAATAATATCACTCATGCCGTATTTTAGTAGCTGTGAGGCATCTCAGATGCGGTAATATACTGCTTAGTGAATTGTCCCCTCTGTTCGAAGTTCGCAGTCGCACGTTCCTGAAATTCGAATAAGAACCAAACAGGGGGGTGTTCACCCCTCACTATAAAAAAAAACCTTCTGCCTTTAGATCCATTTTCTTTGAAGTAGCTGAAGTTAGACACTGATTGGCTGCCATGCACAGATGCACCAGATTTTGCCCTCTCCAGTTTTAGTAAATCAACCCAAGTTAGAGAAAGGGATGTTTTATGGCAGAAACCAACTGCAGATTGTACTTCGTATGCTACATTACTTACCTTTAACTATGATGCTCACAGTGGGAGGATCTGAAAAAAAGATAAAAACAGCTTATGCAGACAATTTCATTATGGAAACTAGGAAAAGAAAATATAGTATATAATTATGTACAGCCAACAGCCTTTAAGCAAAAGACAAGAATCCTCGATCCTCACGCACACGGGACGTTTTTACAGCGGATGTTTTTGGCTTTTGGCCTTTTTTTTTCTACAGCCAGTAAACCCCCCAGCATGTTATCCTATGTTATCCTATGTGTCCATCCCCGGCATGTTATCCTATGTGTCCATCCCCGGCATGTTCTCCTATGTGTCCATCCCCGGCGTGTTATCCTATGTGTCCATCCCCGGCATGTTATCCTATGTGTCCATCCCTGGCATGTTATCCTATGTGTCCATCCCTGGCATGTTATCCTATGTGTCCATCCCCGGCATGTTATCCTATGTGTCCATCCCCGGCATGTTATCCTGTGTGTCCATCCCCGGCATGTTATCCTATGTGTCCATCCCCGGCATGTTATCCTGTGTGTCCATCCCCGGCATGTTATCCTATGTGTCCATCCCCAGCATGTTATCCTATGTGTCCATCCCCGGCATGTTATCCTATGTGTCCATCCCCGGCATGTTATCCTGTGTGTCCATCCCCCGGCATGTTATCTATCCTATGTGTCCATCCCCAGCATGTTATCCTATGTCCATCCCCGGCATGTTATCCTATGTGTCTGTGCACACGTAGGCATGTTAACCACTTCAAGTCCGGACACTTTTACCCCCTTCCTGTCCAGGCCAATTTTCAGCGCTATCACACTTTGAATGACAATTGCACGGTCATGCAACACTGTACCCATATGAATGTTTCCTTAGCATTTTTTGAGACATGATAAAACTTTCCATTTTGGTGATATTTATTCACCACTGGGATTTTTATTTTTTTTGCTATATAAATGAAAAAGTCCAAATGCATTTTTTTTTAAAAAGTGTTTTTCTTAAACAATTTTGCAAATAAATAATCTTTCTTCTTAAATCTTGACCAAAACGTATTCAGTTATCTTTTTAGTAAAAAAAAAAAAAAAAATCCAAATTAGTTTATAACCAAAAATTCAAATTCCAAAAAACATTTTTACATCTCTATTTTAATTTTTTTATATGTTATCCTATTTTTTACATACTGTCACCCTAGCAGTACAGTGTCACCATGGTGACACTGTACTACTTGTGGGGGGTGATGAAGATTTTTTTCCTATGTTTTTTTACACTGATTGCATTTACACCCATAAAGGCTGTAAAAGCAATCATGTGTCCTTCTCTCTGGCTGCATTCTTGCATTTGTTACATTTTATTTTATTTATTTTTTTATAATATTATTTATGAGTTTTTTTTCTACATACTGTCACCCTAGCAGTACAGTGTCACCATGGTGACATGTACTACTTGTGGGGGTCCATAAAGATTTTTTTTTTTTGTTTTTCACTGAGTGCTTTTACACCCATAAAGGTGTAAAGCAATAATTTCTCCTCTCTGGCTGCATTCTTGCACCCCGGCATGAGAAATATGAGTGATCCCCGGCTGTGATCCTTGTGTCACAGCGTGTGACATGGTACAAGGCTGTTGTGAATGGTCCATCCCTGTATCATGTGACCTCTGTGATCATTCACAGATGTTTCACATGTGTCCATAGTAAGCAATGATGTCCAGAAGCGACATCTTGCTTACTACATGTTATCTTCACGTGATCACATGATTGGCCAATCAGTGATCACAGATCGGGACCTTTCACTCAGAGGTCCTGTACAACGATCGGTGTTCACTGCTTTGGAGGGAGCATGCACAAGCAGGGAGCGGGGAGACCATTTATAAACGGCCACCCACCCCTGCACTGCTCCTGTCCGGCCGTTTATATACATGGGCCAGACGGGAAGTGGTTAATTAGCATTTTTTGTGGGGACGTTTTTTAGCAGGAAATAAACCCCAAACTAGTGGGTTTCTAGAGGAGCTTTTTTAGCTGTATAAAAATGCTCTAATGCGGAAACACATGGCAAAACACGCAGCAACCCCCGGACCCTGCATTCACTATATTCGCTCTCCCCATGACCCTGCATTCACTATATCCGCTCTTCCCGGACCCTGCATTCACTATATCCGCTCTCCCCGGACCCTGCATTCACTATATCCACTCTCCCGGACACTGCATTCACTATATCCACTCTCCCCGGACCCTGCATTCATTAATATCCGCTCTCCCCGGACCCTGCATTCACTATATGTCTCCCATGGTGACCCTGCATTCACTATGTCCGGTCTCCCCAGACCCTGAAGATTCACTTTATCTGGTCTCCCCAGACCCTGCATTCTTTCTGGTCTCCCTGGACCCTGCATTCATTATATCTGGTCTCCCCTCCTGGCATTCACTATATTCGATCGTCCCCTGACCCTGCATTCACTGTAACACACTCGGTCCCCGGACCCTGCATTCACTATATCTGGTCTCCCCGGACCCTGCATTCACTATATCCGGTCTCCCCGGACCCTGCATTCACTATATTTGGTCTCCCCAGACCCTGCATTCACTATATTCACTCTCCCTGGACACTGCATTCACTATATTCGATCTCCCCGGACCCTGCATTCACTATATCTGGTCTCCCTGGACCCTGCATTCACTATATCTGGTCTCCCCGGACCATGCATTCACTATATCCAGTCCCCCAGACCCTGCATTCACTATATCCGGTCTCCCCGGACCATGCATTCACTATATCCGCTCTCCCCGGACCCTGCATTCACTATATACGATCTCCCCGGACCCTGCATTCACTATATCCTATATCTGTCCCGGAACCCTGCATTCACTATATCCAGCTCTCCCCGGACCCTGCATTCACTATATCCGCTCTCCCCAGACCCTGCAATCACTATATCTGCTTTCCCCGGACCATGCATTCACTATATCCGGTCTCCCCAGATCCTGCATTCACTATATCCGATCTCCCCGGACCTCACATTCACTATATCTGGTCTCCCCAGACCCTGCATTCACTATATCTGGTCTCCCCGGACCCTGCATTCACTATATACGATCTCCCCGGACCCTGCATTCACTATATCCGCTCCCCGGACCCTGCATTCACTATATCCGGTCTCCCCGGACCCTGCATTCACTATATCCGCTCTCCCCGGACCCTGCATTCATTATATCCGGTCTCCCCAGACCCTGCATTCACTATATCCGCTCTCCCCGGACCCTGCATTCATTATATCCGGTCTCCCCGGACCCTGCATTCACTATATCTGGTCTCCCCAGACCCTGCATTCACTATATCCGCTTTCCCCGGACCCTGCATTCACTATATCCGCTTTCCCCGGACCCTGCATTCACTATATCCGGTCTCCTCAGTACCCTGCATTCACTATATCTGATCTCCCCAGACCCTGCATTCACTATACCTGGTCTCCCAGACCCTGCATTCACTATATCCGGCCTCCTCGGACCCTGCATTCACTATATCCGGCTATGCACACCGCAGCCATCTCATGCATAAAAATTGGGTTGCAGTGTATAGCTGACAAAGTCCCATGGAGTTCTCACAATGCAGCAATGCAGCCATACCACTGCTTTTGAATGGGTTTTAATACAAAGATAAGTATCCTTCTTTTAGCCATGTAACTATCATTTTTAAATGTACCGGTACCCAGCTGTAAAAAAAAAAACCAAAAAAAAACCACTAACTTTTTGGAAAATGACTTTCATGAATTGAGTCTCATCATGTATTAATTGCAAAGGATTTCATGTTCATTGGACTTACATTCCACATTTAAACGAATCTGGTTAACGGATGTTGTAGAAACTGTTTGGAAATTGACTTTACAAGATAAGTATGACTGGTCGTCCTGCTTGGATGGAGTGAATGTGATATTGGAGTAATATGTCTTGTTACCATCTGGATGGACGATACAATAAGTAACATTCGTCCCCTGTACTCCTCCTTCCCAAGATATCAGAGGAGCAGAGCCGTTGCAGCTTCCAGGACTTTGGCAGGTCAATGTCACCTCCTTATCGGCCACAAAATTCTTCACTGGAGTGATCTCTGGTTTGTCTGTCAAGTCTATTAAAAAAAGGAATTGATTGGTTGAAAAGAAAGCGTTACCCTTATCCAAATTTCCATAATCATTATCTGATGAACTTCAATTTATTTTTTAGGTTTTGATCATTTGGAAAGAATCTTGTCTAGGTTGTTTTGCTAGATTCCGGCACATGGGGCACGTGCCTAAGTCTCATAGTCGGAGCTCAATACCCAACTAGACCTCTAATGCAGGGGTCTGTCCAAACAATCTGAACAAAGGGCTAGTTTTCTGGTCTTTTGACTTAAGGGGGGCCGGACTGTAACCAGTGGGAGTGGAAAATGCAGCAGAAATAGTGTCCAATCATTGGTGTCAGTAGAAGGAATAGCGCCTTATTATTGGTATCAGTGAGAGGAATAGTGCCTCGACATTGGATCAGTGGAAGGAATGGTTCCCCAACACTGATATCAATGAAAGAAAAATTTGCCCCAATACTGGTGTCAGTGGAAGGACCGATGCCCCAACATTGGTGTCAGGGAAGGACTGTTGCTCCAGCATTGGTGTCAGTGGCAGGAGTAGTGCACCATTGATGGTATCAGTGGGAAGAAAAGTGCCCCACCTATAGTGTTAGCGGGAGTAATAGTTATTATGCCCCATTGTTGATGTCAGTGGCAGGAACAGTACCCCAATGATGGTACCAATGGGAGGAAAAGTGCACCATCTTTAGTGTTAGTGGAAGTAATAGTGTTCTGTAGTTTATATCAGTGGGAGGAATTATGTCCCAATATTGGTGCTTGTGGAAGGAATGGTGCCTCGTATCAGTGGGAGGAATTATGTCCCAATATTGGTGTTTGTGGAAGGAATGGTGCCTCATATCAGTGGGAGGAATAGTGCCTCAAGGACCAGATAAAGGCTATCAAAGGGCCACATCCAGCCCCCGGCCGCAGTTTGGAGACCATTGCTCTAATAGAACAAGTCTCTCTGGCTTTCAGAGTGATTTGTCCTTTTGTATGCCAACAAAAATTGGTTGAAGTGATATGCCCTCCTGGTGCTGCCTGCGTAGTGCCAACATGATATCACTCCACACCATCCCAAGGAGGGGGAGACAGTGGTGTGGGACCTCTGCAGCTTCTCTCAAAGTTCCCACTGACTACCATTAAATGGGAGACAACCAGGGCTTTTTTCAGCGGAAACATGGGGGAAATGTAGTTCCGGCACCTCCAGCACTAAATGTACAGTATATAATGGCAAGGGATTCTGGAAGGTCTATTGATGCTGGGTACTGGGGATCTATTGTCAATGCAGTGCATTCTATTGTTGCTAGTGTGGGATCTATTGTTGCTTAAAGGGATGTACTGTTGAAGGAGGGGTGTATTAATGGTGGCTGCTGGGAGATCTGTTGTTGCTGGGATGGTATTTTGCTGCAGGGGTCCATTGTTTCTGGTGAAATCTATTGGTAATGGAGGGGGCTCTATTGCTGCTGGCTGTGTGGTGGAACCATTCTGCCTGGCTTCCTTGTGCGGAGTGATGCGTCTCAGCCAATGGTCCCCTTTTTCAGCAAGTCTTCCAACGCTCTGCCAAGGCGGGTATTAGAGCTCAAAGACAATCCTTCCCCCATATCCCAAACCACGAGTCGGAACTTCGTGTAGGGTGAATGAATGAATTCTTTATTGAACACAGCTCAGTTTATACAGCACATCCTGGCAGCAATCCCTGCCCCCTTCACCCCCACCAGACAGTCTGGCACCTGGTTTTCCCCACCCACAACAAAACTCTACAGCACAACACAGCAGCAGTCAGCACCAGGGGCGGACTGACCATTTGGGCACTCGGGCACTGCCCGAGGGCCTGGAGTCTGTAGGGGGCCCCATGAGAAGCCCCTGGTACCTTTTTTGAGTTTGGGCAAGGACACAGGGGCCCCATGATCCCCTATTGCCGGGGGCCCCTGGTAGGGTGCGTGCCCTGTAGCAGTATTTCTAGGGTGGAGGAGAAGCGGTTAAAGAGATTCACCCTCTCTATTTCTCTTGTTTACCGTTATCATTGAAAGTAAAAGAAAACTCCAAACTTTGGATTGTCCCCCAGAAAAGTAATAGAGAAGAAATCTTCCAATGGGGACACTAGTTCTGGTGACCTGGGGGCCCCCCCAAAAAATAAGGCAGGGATGGACTGACCATTCAGGTACTCGGGCACTGCCCCGGGGTCAGTAGGGGCCCTATGAGATGCCCCTGGTACCTTTCATATGCTTTTTTGGGTTTGGTTTGAGTGTGGGCTAGGACACAGAGGCCCCATGGTCCCCTATTGCCCAGGGCCCCATGAGTTGTCAGTCCACCCCTGGTCAGCACAGTATGAAATCTAGAGAAGGGAAAGACTACAAGTTCACATTATCCTAAACAGTGTAGAATGTCTGTCTACATAACAGCTGCTAAACATATACAGCTTTAAAAAGGGGAGAATGGGAAGACCACTTAACAAGGGGATAAAACCGGAACAGAAAGGGCAAAATATTATCACAAAGGGACAGGCTACAAGGGATATATTTTACTGCTTTTCTGATTCAATAACAAATTTCATACAAATTGCTTAGCACCACAAAATACTTGGTTCTGTTTTCTCTAAAAGGAACAGAGCGGACACAGACACGTCCCACATGGAAGAGAAATATATTTCCAATATATTTAGAAAAAAAAAATGATATATCTGTCATATATTTACAATATATTGGACTACGCTAATATATTTTAACAAGTACTCTACAAAATGTAAATTTAAATATATTTTCTAAAGGCATATATTTAAAAATATCATTTTTTTTATATGTATTTCAGAAGTAATTTTAACATATACTTTTACATATATTTGTAAATGCATTCCAAAAATGTAGATTAAATGTATCTTCAAAAGACATATATTTGAAAATGTATTTTTAAAAATATTTCTCATATTTTTTTAATATATAAAAAAACGCATTTCAACATACATACACACACATATATATATATATATATAAAAAAATTTTTTTAACCATTTCAATACCGTGCAATTTTACACCTTCCTGCCCAGGCCATTTTTCACGTTTCAGCGCTCTCACACTTTGAATGACAATTGCGCGGTCATACACACTGTACCCAAACTAAAATTTTATCATTTTCTTCACACAACTAGAGCTTTCTTTTGGTGGTATTTAATCACCGCTGGGGTTTTTATTTTTTGCTAAATTAACAAAAAAAGACCAAAAATTTTGAAAAAAAAACACATTTTTCTTTGTTTCTGTTATAAAAGTTTACAAATAAATAATTGTTCTTCATAAATTTAGGCCGAGATGTATTCTGCTACATGTCTTTGGTGAAAATAACCCAAATTAGGATGTATTTTTTAGTTTGTAGGAAAGTTATAGAGTTCACAAACTATGGTAATAGATCTGAAAAATTGATCAATCCTGAAGTACTGACGGCCAATCTAATTTCTTGAGGTCCAAGAATGTCAGAACAGTACAGATATCCCCAAATGACCCCTTTTTGCAGAGTAGACAGTCCGACATACTTCATAAGAGGCATGGCGAGTTTTTTGAAGTTGTATTTTTTTGTCATAATTTTTCCAAAAATGAAAAAATGAAAAAAAATTATTTTCACTATTTTTTTTTTTACATACTGTCACCAGTGCAGTACAGCGTCATCATATAACTGGCATGGTGGTGAACAGGGAC